ATTGAAACAGTTAGAGACAGTGTACACTCCGGGTGCTTTCTTTGAAGAGAAAAGGCGGTACCGCTCGACAGAATGTATACCGAGGATTTACAATTGCTTCCAGAAAAACGTCTCAGCAATCAAACTGCCATCTACAAGGCTTGCACCATACTTCGGAATGATACCAAGCTGCAGAACCACAGATTTTCCATGGGCCGGACTTCTGGAAATTGGCGCACCTGAATATGGCCTAGCTTCGGGTGCACCGTCTCAGCGGGACTCCCCGTCTCGGTATCCAGCGTCTATACCTCGGTTTTTATTGGTATATTTCCGGCGATTCCAAGCGGGAGGCTTACCAGGAGCGTCTGGCCACGGATCTTGGCCACCTCCTCGAGCTTCTGCATCAGTTTCTTTGCAATTCCGCTGCGGCGGAGACTTTGAGCCGGATGTTCAAGTGCAGGATGTCGTGAACCTCCCGACGACGGAAATTCGGGGAAACCAACACCTTTTCGACGCTCTCGCAAAATGGCCCGGTTTCTGTCAACAGTCGGAACATAATCACGTACCCCGCGAGCTGGTGTGAGCTTCCGGGACCGTCCTCCAAGACCATGAAAATGATGCGCCTCCCGGCTGCGGCGTCGTCCGCGCGCTCTTTCCACTACCCGATGATGGCATCGCGATTCACTGGCGGCGTGAATGTTGCAATTGTGTGGTCGGTTTCGATGCAGGCAATGTGGATGTCCGCGCGAATGACGGTATGAGCGCGGCGTGGGCCGGATTTGCGGGGTCGAACATTATTGGACTAGAAATGGGACGTCCCGTTGGAAACTACAGTATTACCACCGAGTAGCACCTTAAAAGGATTGCGGTTAGATTGAACCGACCTGAAGATATTGCCACATACCGAGGAGCGCATTCATTATGCTGGCATGGTATTAGCATGGTACAAAACAGTACATTTGCATGGAGGGTGTTTGGAGATGGATCACTCGCTCTGTTAATCTGTCCCCACGACGGAGCGCCAGAAGTCGGCCAGCGGGTCCCAAGAGAGGCTTTGCCACTCCGCGGTCCACGGGAGCAGCGTGCCGAAGAAGAGAGCGCTATGCCCAGCATAGGCTGCGATTATCGTCGAAAATGCATCAGTAAGTACGGTTACACGTTGAAATGAATTTAAACGCTTACACTTTTTGCGTGCCGGGAAGTCTCGAGGCCCAGCTGCGGGACGCCCATGATGTTGCAGAAGATGTGTGCGGTGAGCGGGGGGATCAGTACGGACGTTCGTAGGAAGAGGAAGGAGGCGTGCGCTCCGAAGAGCGTCGTGTACGCCGCTTGGAATACTAGAATTTCTTTAGCCGGTGCGCAATAACAAACGGCAGGGAAGAAGACCCAGGCAGGGTGGACGTGCCCTGCAAATCCCTATCAGAACCGCTCTTCAATGGAAGCAAAACACCTACCGAGACCGAACACAAGAGGTGCGAAAGCAATCATCTTACCGCGGCCAGCACCGACCATGGCGTAGACGGAGAGCACGCATGCGCGACAAACGACTTCTTTTGTGAGCGGGCCCTATTGCGCTCCAGGGTCGGAACCACCGTGTGAGCGCCGTAGCTCAGTCGAAGCACCCAGATATAATTGCGGAATCCGATCCAGGTCCCAAACACGTCGAAGAAGTGGCGATTGACGGAATACGCGGCCTGTCCTGGGAGCACCGACGCCAGGAAGCTTTTGTAGAGCGGCCCCAGAAACAGCAGAGGCATCTGCAGACACGAGACGATGGTAGCTGGCCAGCGAATGCCGAGAATCGCCAGCGTGGGTGCTACGGCATGGGTCTGGTCCGGATGTGAGCGGCGCGGAAGGGGAGAAACAAGTAGTGGCTTACGGAGGGAGGGGTGTATCGATCGACGAGGTAGTAGACGATCCCCCAACCAAGTGCGGATGCGATTGTCGCAGCAGCGAGACGGGCGCGGATGACGGATGGGTCGTGCTGCCGGGTTGCACATGACTCCTCGCGGCGTCGGACCCTGGAAACGATATTCGTGCGATGGGTACATCGGCGCGAAGATGGGTCGCATGTTAGAAGCGCTATGATTCATGAACTTCGAAGAGCAAAGTCGGACGCGACCCGGTAGATCTCCCCTTTAATCGAGTTGAATTTGGCTGTTATCCGCAAAGAGAATCGCGTCGGGGCATCCACGTTGCGTCCAAGTTGTCTTGAAGGTTGTGGTGAAGAAGAAAGTCGCGAGCAGGCGCGAGTCACACAAACACAGGTCACGCTGATCGGCATGTCGGCATGGGCGCGTGTTCTCAACCCCCTCTCCCAGTCTTTCAAAATTTAAAGAACTCCAGCTGTACACCGGTTCGAGACGTAGGCTCCATATCAGAAATAAGGTCAGGTAGGAGGAATACTAGTGCCATGACTCAGGCCTGAGTCGAACAGGCATGATCCATGCGCCTTAGTTCCGGACCAAGCTGAATCAGATGCGGACCCTCCGCTACCAAGCCTTCCTTACTACCTTTTCAGTTGGTTATCTATGTACTCCATTAGATTTATTTCTTGGAAAAAAGTTTATTAGGACAAGCTGCTGGCTCGGGCCTGAGTCGAACAGGCACCGTCTGCTGTGTATAATACTAGCAGTGACCCGTGCTATGCTACGGGAAGAAACTTTTGAGTAAATTTACAAGTTCTTCAGTTTTGCAGTGTGCAGCGGACCAGTTTAAATCTCAAGTTTCCGAAATCTACAGAAATATGTCACAATTTTTCAACTATAAGCTGCCGCGGCCACTTGTCGCCAATCTTCGATTGGCTCCTCGTGGCCTCATGTTCAGTATGCTAAGATCATTCAACTCAACCTCAATGCAATGGTCCATTCAGCAGCGGTATGCTCACCTGAGGAATTCCTTGAGGTACTCCAGCATCCAAACCACCTCCATGTGCATCTGTCCGTGAAAATTGACACAGACAGAGCTCGATGTCAGCGGACATGAGCAGTGTTCACCTGGGGCAAGTTATGTGGCATGCACACAGACCGCAGGCCCGGGGTTGCCCTGGTACAACCTCTGACCTCAGTCCATCACAATGATGATGTGGACTTGAGGCTCGGGTTCTATCCCAACAGGAAATTATTGAGGGTAAAAAGAGAGTGATTAGGAAAGGAAGAGGAAGAGAAATGAGGCACGCACCTCCGAGTCCGAGGTTGCAACGACTTCATGGTGACATGCTGGTGCTGCTCCATCTGTGTGTCTTCAGGTGCAGTTGTTTTTTATCCCTAGCTAAAAAAATTGAGCCCGCATACTCGCACTGAGCTCCTGTCGATAGTGTTTTTCTTGAAGAGTATTCAAGCCACAGCTAACTCTTGACACCGAGAGCCAGAAAGTCCGCTTAAACTGATAGATTAGACATTTCAAAGCTAGCTGGAGCTCATTTACGCGTTAAAAGAGACATAAACATGTCAAAGAGGTCAAAAGAGGTGTGAAGACGGAGAGAGATCAGTGTGGGAAGGTTTGCAGGCAGCAGCCAATCAAAATGTGTTATGTTTGATGGCATCAAAGAGGACACATTCTCCTTTTGGAGGTGCAGTATTCTCCTCAGATACCTGAGAAGCCACTGGAAGACGTTGTCGGCGTGGGTTTGGTTAGGTTTGCTCCGCGTTGATGCATGCTTCACACAGAGCGTGTCCCGAGTGCGATTCCGGTGACTTTGGGGTGTGTTTGAAGGGGTAAGCATAGCCCCAGGTCTGAGTGCCAGAAGACTTGTTGGAATTGCAAGAGTAGAGTAGGTTACAGAGAGTGCTCAGGGATACTTACAGTGGAAAGACGCCAGAAACTTAAACTTGGTGGTGTGCATGTGACCGTCAACCAATCACAAATGTCTCTTGACATTTTGGTTCGCACGCTTTCCCTTTTTGTAATATAGATAGATAGATATTCATCCCGACAAACAACAGTAAAGCAAATGCGGACCCCTCCGCTACCGAGTCTTATCTCCCTGGCTTAAAGCCGCATGAGGCGGGTCCATTTAATTTCATTCTTTCAAAAAGAAAACCAAGGCAGGAAAATAGCTCGGGCCTGAGTCGAACAGGCTTGGTCTGCATTATAAACCATTGTCACGACGGATTAAGAACAGATGCGGATCCCCCGCTACTGAGCCTTATTTCCTTAGCTGAGAACTCTGTCAATTTGGTGAATTCATTCTTTTGTTTCGAAAAAAAAGACCTTCGGAGGGATAATGGCTTGGGCCCGAGTCAAACAGACTTCCTCTGCTGTAAACCTCCTTGGCTAAACTCGGACAAGTTGGTGGATGGCTTGTTTCTTCCCGACCAAAAAAAGGGACGGTCAGAATAATGGCTCAGGCCTGAGTCGAACAGGCGTTGTCCGCTGTATGTTTTGAAAACCTCATTGAATTGAAGCAGATGCGGACCATCCGTTACCGAGCTGTAGTACTGGCCTTTCTAACCTCATGAGATAGCACCATTTAATTCTTTTTTTAAACTAAAAAATAGCATAGTGAACTGCTAACCAATGGCTCGGGCCTGAGTCGAACAGGCATTCTCTGCAGTGCATTGTGGTAGCACCGAATTGAAAGTAGATGCGGACCCCCCGCTATCGAACCGTAGTACTAGCCTTTCTAACCTCATGAGATAGTGCCATTTAATTCTTCTTTTAAAACGAAAAATTCAACTACTAATGGCTCGGGCCTGAATCGAACAGGCGTAGTCCGCTAGATGTGTCGAAGCGAAGGACTAAATTGAAAGCAGATGCGGACCCTCCGCTACCGAGCCTTGATTCTTCCCTTTGGAACGTCATGAGAGGGCCATTCCTTTATTTCTTTCAAAAACACACGAGCTCCATAGTCATGGCTCGGGCCTGAGTCGAACAGGGGTAGTCTGCTGCACAGAACGGATCATATTCACTTGAAGCAGATGCGGACCCTCCGCTACCGAGCCTTCCTTCCCTAGCTAAGAGCCTCATAAGGTGGGTCCATTTATTGCATACAGACAAAAAAAGACAGTGCCAACAGCTAATGGCTCGGGCCTGAATCGAACAGGGTTTGTCTGCTGTATATAGAAATATTCCCAATGCAAATGGAGAGCAGATGCGGACCCTCCGCTACCGAGCCTTACTCCCTTTCCTTATAACCTGGCTGAGTGGGAATGGTTTTTTTATTTGTTCCAGCTCAAAAAAATGACTTACTTCTAGATCACGGCTCAGGCCTGAGTCGACCAGGCATTGTCTGCCATCTACCCGCGAATGGAAAGCAGATGCGGACCCTCCGCTACCGAGCCTTACCTCCCATGCTTATAACCTGGCTAGGTGGGAATGGTTTTATTTCTTCGAACAAAAAAAGTGCCGAAGAAGGCATCCTTATGGCTCGGGCCTGAATCGAACAGGTGTCATTTGCTGTATGTGAATATGTCCAGTGGGATGGAAAGTCAATGCGGACCCTCCGCTACCGAGCCTTACTTCTCCCCTTTGGAACCTCATGAGATAGCACTATTTAATTCTTTTTTTTTTAACTAAAAAGTATGATAATGGGCTGTTGACCAGTAGCTCGGGCCTGAGTCGAACAGGCATTCTCTGCAGTGCATGGTGGTACATAGCACCGGATTGAAAGTAGACACGGATCCTCCGCTACCGAGCCTTACTTCCTCGGCTTATAACCTGGCTAGGTGGGAATGGTTTTTGTTTCTTCCAACAAGAAAAGTGCCGAAAGAGGCATCCTTAGGGCTCGGGCCTGAGCCGAAAGGCATTCTCTACAGTGCGTGGTGGAGCACCGGATTGAAAGCAGATGCGGACCCTCCGCTACCGAGCCTTACATCTCCCCTTTCGAATCTTATGAGATAGCACCATTTAATTCTTTTTTAAAAAAACTAAAAAGTAGGATAATGAACTACTGACCGATGGCTCGGGCCTGAGTCGAACAGGCGCTATCTGCTGTATACGATGTTCTCAACGAATTGAAGCAGATGCGGACCGTCCGCTACCGAGCCTTATTTTTTTAGCTTAGAAATCGGTCAGGTAGGTCCATTTATTTAATTTCTTGCCAAAAAGAGTGAATGGCTCAGGCCTAAGTCAAACAGGCATGTCTGTTGTATATGTGTGAAAAGCCAAAGACCAATTGAAAGCAGCTGCGGACCGTCCGCTACCGAGCCTTACTTCTCCCCTGTGGAACCTCATGAAATAGCTAGCGCCATTTAGTTATTTTTTAAAACTAAAAAGTGGGATCGTGCAGAACTATTAATGGCTCGGGCCTGAGTCGAACAGGCCTTCTCTGCAGTAGCACTGGATTGAAAGTAGATGCGGACCCTCCGCTACCGAACCTTCCTTGCTTACCTTAGAACCTGGCTAGGTGGGAATGGTTTTATTTCTTCCAACAAAAAAGTGCCGAAGAAGGCATCCTTATGGCTCGGGCCTGAGTCGAACAGGCGCTGTCTGCTGTGTATGATATATTCATCCCGACAAACACCAGTAAAGCAGAAGCGGACCCTCCGCTACCGAGCCTTATTTCCTTAGCTTAGAACCTGGCTAGGTAGATATTCAATTTCATTTCTTCAAAGAAAATGAGGAGGTCGACTGATATGGCTCGGGCCTGAGTCGAACAGGCATGTCTGCTGTATCCGGCAGTTTGAATGAATTGAAAGCAGATACGGACCCTCCGCTACCGAGCCTTACCTCCCTGGCTTAGCTCCTGGGCAGGTGGGAATGATTTTGTTTCTTCCACCAGAAAAAGTACCGAAGCAGGCATCCTTATGGCTCGGGCCTGAGTCGAACAGGCGCTGTCTGCTGCACAGAACCGATCATGTTCACTTGAAGCAGATGCGGACCCTCCGCTACCGAGCCGTACCTTCCTAGCTTAGAACTCCAACACCCGGGTGAATTCATTTATTTCTGTCAACCAAAAAAATGCCGAGCGGCAAGCCATGGCTCGGGCTTGAGTCGAACAGGGGTTGTCTACTGTGTACGTCAACATCGGCAAATTGAAAGCAGACGCGGACCCTCTACTACCGAGCTTTATTTCCTTGCTTAGATCCTGGGCAGGCGGGAATGACTTTTGTTTCTTCCAACGAAAAAACTGCCGAATGGCAATCAATGGCTCGGGCCTGAATCGAACAGGCTTCGTCTTCTGTATGTGTTGAAAACCTCCTTGAATTGAAACAGATGCGGACCGTCCGCTACCGAGCCTTATTTCTCCTCTTTAGAACCTCATGAGATAGGGCCATTTTATTCTTTTTAAAAACTAAAAAGTGGTGCTGAATTACTAATGGCTCGGGCCTGAGTCGAACAGGCATTCTCTGCTGTGTATGATACATCCAATTAAGCTTTATTGAAAGCAGATGTGGACCCTCCGCTACCGAGCCTTTTTACTACCCTGTGGAACCTCATGAGATAGGGCCCTTTAATTCTTTTTTAAAAACTAAAAAGTGGTGCCGAATTACTAATGGCTCGGGCCTGAGTCGAACAGGCATTCTCTGCTGTGTATGATACATCCAATTAAGCTTCATTGAAAGCAGATGCGGACCCTCCGCTACCGAGCCTTACTCCCTTAGCTTACAACCTCATGACTTGGTATATTTCTTTCATTTCTTTTCTTTCAAAAAGACTCGGATGGATTCCGAGGATTAATTGGCTCGGGCCTGAGTCGAACAGGCATGTCTGCTGTGTCAACGACGTGGACGAATTGAAAGCAGATGTGGACCCTCCGCTACCGAGCCTTATTTCCTTAGCTTATAACCTGGCTAGGTGAGAATGGCTCGCATTTCTTCCAACAAAAAAAGTGCCGAGCGACATTCTAATGGCTCGGGCCTGAAGCGAACAGGCTTCCCTCTGCTGGATATCAAGCAATGGGAGAATTGAAGCAGATGCGGACCATCCGCTACCGAGCCTTCCTTACCACCGTTCAGAACTCGATTGTCTTCCCCAACATTCCGAATTCATGTCTCCCCATACATAGAACAAGCTAACTGTCAGATCACATCACGCGGAGGTATTTTTGGTGCTCAAGTAAAAGTCCGATTTGATGCGGAGCGGTGAAGTCGTTCTAATTAGCTGTTCTAGCTTCTCGCTTCTCAGGGACGGAGGTGATGCGGTTCGCACGTCGCAGGCGCGGAGGTAAGTAAGTGCGAGACCCACACGCTGTCTCGGGTCTTAGAGCAGGCTCGGTGGGATCATGTATCAAGCGGTTAGATATAAGTCTGATCGAGTGGTTATGTGGATGCATACGCCGCTTTGACTTTGGATGGATAGGACACTGATCTGATTTGGAGTGGGGATTGATCGGGGTGAAGAAGGGAGTGAGGATTGAATGCGATGCTGGGGAGGTTTGAGCTCGGTGGTCGAGACTCGCATTCCAGACGAGAAGCGACGAGAAGGCATCGGAGGGAAAGGTTCCGCGGATGGGGTGAATGATTATGAAACGCCGGTGGGGAATCGAATCGTGATGGCGGTGATTGAGTGCCACACGAGGCAGTGCGATAACATACCAGTCCCAAAAAGGGAATAATCGCTTTCCCCCAACCACCACACCATGGCTTCTCCTACGACCCACGGGCTCGCCCACGACCCCGCCCAGCTCGCCGCGCTCCCCTCCATCCCGCACGTCCCCAAAGTCCGCGTTCTCGATGCCGCGCAGTTCGCCGCCATGCACACGGCGCACATCGTCGCCCACCCGCCCGACGGCGTCCTCTTCCCCTTCCTTCACGGCCTCGAGGGCGACAACCACGCACAGAACACCTTCTTCGCCGCCCCCGCGCGCCGCCGGCCGCCGCGCTTCCGCGGGCTCGTCTGGGTCGTCGCGGACGAGGATCTGGCGGGCCCGACGCCCGTGCTGACGCCAACTACGTTTCCTGAGAGCGAGGACGACGAGGAGGACGACGACTTTTCCGACGATGAAGACGACGACGAGGAGGACGAGCTGCTCCCCATGGACGTCGACCCCGACGTGCGGATCGTCAGGGGCGACGAGGCGCCGCCCATAGCGACGCTCGAGGGCGAGGACGGGACTGGTGAAGAGAACGGGAAACACATGCACCCCGTGCACCACCGCGCGGCGATCCAGCTGCAGACGACCGGGCTCCCCCTCGGCACGCCCAGCACCACCTCCAGCAGCACCGACGGCAGCTTCTTTGCGACCCCGGCGACGGAGGGCGGCGACGTGCCCATGGAGATGTGAGTTCTTTCTTTATTTCATTCCTGTGCTTTCCTCCCCTCGTTGCTCGTGCGACCGACGCCATTATCCGTCCCCGCGCATTGCATCCGCCCCTCTCCCCCCACAGCCCACGTAACCTATCAACCTACCAACTTGCTTCCTTCTTCCCTCTATTCCCATTCCCATCCCGCACACCCCGCCCATCCCCGTCCCCGTCGACCCCTTTCGTGATATTGATATCCCCATCCTCCTCGCCATTTCGTGCAATTCTCCCTATTTTACTTCCACTTCCTCTCGGGTGCATGGCGCGCATCACACGACCCCGCGCTCATTCCCGTCCGCACCATCCATTCGCTCGTCCCGAATTTACATTCACTTTCTATTTCCTCCGCCATATCCCACCCCAATTCGCGTCACACGACCGAATATAGCTATCGCTATCTTCACTTCTCCATCCATATATCCCGTCCCCGGACCATCTCTGAACCCTGTCCACTATTTAACATACGTTCCCCTTCGTCCCGCCCATCCATCATTCCTCCCTAATTCACGTTACATACGAGACGACGCTGCACCTCCCCCCTCACCCATCTCCACGCATCCTCGCGATTTGATTTGGGTCTTTGCATCCATTCATCATCTACATCTACATCTATCCTTCCCGCCCCCCGCCCCAATTCCCGCACATCACGCATCACACGACCGACCGTATTCCCCCCGCACACGCCCTCGCTCCATTCCTTCATACACTGCATCTCTCCGTGCCCTCTCCCCTCGTACATCCATCCATCCAATCCTCGCATCTACTCCCCTCCCTTCCGTCCCAACTCACATCTTTCGCCGTCACACACACAATCGAATAGCCCGCGCCCTTCTTCTTCCCTCCTTATCCATCCCCTCCTCGCGCTGCTCTTCCCCTATCCATCCATCCAATTCACCTCCATCGCAATCACACGAGTGTGAACCGTCTCACT